TAAAATTAATTTTTAAAAAATCAGTGCATCAGCTTCTACCTCAAGCTAATTTAGATCATAATCTGTGGGCTACCTTTTTTTAAAAGCTTACCTAGCAATTCTAACATTAGCCAGTTAGGAGTCACAGCTCTAAATGAATCTCTTATGAAGGGAAGACATAAATAAATAGAAATGTGTATAAAAGCACAGGGAGAAAGGTTTAAAAAAAAGAAGAATCAGAAGGACTCACCCTTTGCTTTCTGACATCTTTTACTCTTGACCTCTTCTTGTAAGGTCCAAAGATCCTTATTAGAATCTGTGTCATAATCCTAGCAATTACACAGTTAAGAAAAAACAGGCCTTGGGGGAGAGGGGAATTCAGTGGTAGAGTGCTCGCCTAACATGCGTGAGGCCCTGGGCTGGATCCCCAGCACCACAAAAAACAAAACAACTACCCAGGAAAAAAAGCCTGGAGAGATCTTTGTTAGTTGTCCACAATCACTTGATACAACAGTTTTGCCAATGTGGGGAGGCTGTCAGGTTTCAAGTATAAACCAATGCACAAATAATCGCAGGGGACCACAGGGAGAGGGGGAGAACTTCTGGCTCAGGTTTCCTATGTCCCAGTCCAAAAAAAATAGGGGAAATGTTATCTGTGGGACAAGCATTCACACTCTAGAGGACAATTTCTTTCTTTTTGGTTCTGGGGATCAAACTCAGGACCTTGCGCTTGCGAGGCAGGCAGCAGAACCACTGAGCTAAATCCCCAGCTCTAGAGGATGATTTCATTTGAACCTATTAATTTCCTTTCCAATGAAAATTTAAAGGATAAAGTAACATAGGGGGAGACAAGAAGGGGAGGAAAAAAGAGTTAAGATGTGCTATGTATACATACCAGCTCCCCAGTGAATGTAATCATTATGTACTGTAAACATGTACTAATAAAAAAATAAAAAACCATAAAATGTGAGGCTTAACAAAGGAGAGATGGTTTTTGAGGAGAATTTATATCTTCCAGTTTTTACTGGCATTAACAGTCTTTTAGCCTGGAGCAATTCAAAGATGAATCGTGAAAAAGAAAAACTTTATTTCAGATAGGTTCAGTAGCATGTGTGCTAAAGGGAAGGCTGGTTTTAGAAGTTTCTTTTCAAAGTTGTATTTATGTATAAATTAGACCTGATTTGGAAATGCTAAAATGTAGATTCAATCCAACATGATACCAACCTTCACATTTATTGTAGACCTCATATTAGTACTAGAGGTTAGATTTTCATCACCAAAAAATGAGAATAACCTTACAGCTACCTACTAAGGTAATATGCTGTGAAATTAATTCCCTAGAATTGCTTTGAAAATATTCCCCTAGGTTGTTCAGAGAAATTCTAACTCCATCCAGATGTATTATTTAACTGGGATTCTTCAGTCATCATCTATGGTTGGCTTGATTGTCACTCCTCTTCTTATCTGACCCCAACCAATTAAACGCCAGTGCTTCTCAACTCTTCGGCTAAGGGCAATTTTCTCTCCCACTTCTGT